ACAACAGTCCCCCCTCCCCCCCCCCCCCCCCCCCCCCCAAAAAGAAAAAATCCCCAATCTGTGACTGCGAAAGAATCCCTTGGGAAACTGAAAGGAGATTGCAGGTACTCCAAATGAGCCCTGGCAATTCACACCAGGGGATTTAAGACCTCACAGTGACAGTCATCCATCTGACTTTTACCCCTCCTCCCTTCTGCCACCATCTGCTGCTGCCAGCAAGGAGAGGGCATGCTCTCCTCTGGTGCTCACAACACAGCACAGTCACCTGAACAGGACCGAGCCCAGTTTTAATCAATACAGCTCTCATGGAGGGAGCAGCAGTGGGGCTCACATATCCCTCCCCTCAGCACCAGGGAAGCAGGAGGACCACAGAGGAGAAAAGCCCTCAGCATGCCCTGCCAGGAGACAGCAGCGCTTGCCTGGGAGACCCTGCCCATGCACACATGGTAAGAGCTAGGAGGGAGGGGATGCTGTGGAGAGACCTTGCTGCAGGGACACACAGATAGGAGCGAAGGATGGGGAGGAAAAGCCCTGTCTTCTCCTTTGTCCTTTCTGTAACCTGAATCACACATCTAAGCATTTGGCACCCTGCACTGCCTACAACACAATGCTTCATGATGTGGAAATTTGCAAGTGGAGAGAGGGAAAGAACCAGCGTACACAGCCATGAGGACCTCAGGGAGATGATGCTACAGCCATAGTTGTTCCACCTCCCTGTAAGCAGGAATGCCTACGCCTGTGCAGGCACACGTGTTACACACAAGCACGCTCACACACACTCCTACCTTTGCTAACAGCAGAAGCATCCACAGAGTCCATATTTTCTAGGATTTACTTCTATATCTGCAAAAAGCAAGTTTGGTTCTGTTTCTGATTCCCTGCAATTATCATGAAATGCCTTCAACAGAGCAGCTCTGTCTTCTCGGCTGAGCGAGTCTTTGATGTCCAGCACTGCACTCAGATGTTCCTTCCTTTCCAAAAGGATAAGAGGATAGGTCAGTGAACAAGTCAAGGAAAAAAAGATTGCTTCCTATCACTCAGTTTTGCTGGAACAGACCAAAGATCGGAAGCTGCTGACCTGCTTTTTGACACCCTTTGGCCACCTAACAAGGAGGTGGCTGTGTCACAAGAGCTGTGTGGGATATGGCTGAGCTCACGGGTCCCAAGCCCAGTGCACACAGCATCCCCGTGAAACTTTGGAAATCTTCACCTCCGGTTTCTCCAAGAAAAAGATCTGTATCTGTCATAATAGGTTTCAGGTAACTCCGCATTTGACCATTTGGAAGCATTTTTTATATCTTTTCTCCCCTCAGATGGAGCTACTTATTGTTCATCTAGAAGGCTATAGGATTTTTGTTCCACATAGCATTGCTTTGCTGAGTGGGGCCGTGCTATATTAGTCTGATTAACAAACAGGGCAAAGGTACCCAAGCCAAACAGTTTTAAACATACGGGAATCTGCTGAAATCAAGAACAGTGCATCTGCTCACACCAGGATGACCTCCTCTGAGATCTGTATCAAAAGAATATTATTCTGAGTACTTCCTATGCCCACTTCCTATACTATATATATCTCTATATAAAAATATATAGTTATATATATGTATTACTATTTATATGTGTGTGTATAAATATAGTAAGAGAATAAGAATTGCTATGCTGTATCAGATAAGCAGCTTTTTAGCTCAATAGCATCTTCAAAAGTAGTAAATGCTTAAGAAAAGAATATAGAAACCAGATGAAGCATAACATGATCTCTCTTTGTCTTTCTGGTTTTTTGCTTCTGGCAGTCTGCAGTTTAGGGACTGCCTTCGCTGGGGGTTATATCATGACTGTCATGTTGAATAGGCACTGAAATAATTATCTACCACAAATTGTCTGCTCCCCATTTGAAGCTATTCACACTTTTGGCCTTCACAGCATCCTGTGACAGAGTGCTCTAAATTGTAATCATGTTAACTTGGAAAAATACAGTCAGTAGCATAAGACATCAGAACAAAAGATAGATCTAGTAAACCACAGACTTTGGAACAAACACAGTTAGCTAACATCTCATCTTCCTAATAAAAGTTGGGTTTCATTTTTGTTAACAGCTTCCTGTGAGAAATGGAAGTGTATATTCTTGCTGAACACACCTAGGATTTTGTGGAAAGTTATACCTAGAAAAGGATTGGTGAAGCATTAAATCCAAAAGCCAAGCGCTTGGAAGTTATGAAACGCCTGAGTTAAGGATGTTCTTGAAACCTACATTTGGCACACATGTGCCTGTAAATTCTCTATTCGGGTAGTGTTTTTCCACAGCATTCCTGCTTTGTTGACAGCCATTTCATCCATCCTTCACCTTTACAGAAGGACATCTCAACTCCACTGGTTAATGTCTGGCAAAGTCATAAACCATGTTAATCAGTATCTGCAAATAGGCAGCACCAAGTGCATTCAGAGGTAAGCATTGTGCCTGGCTCAGCACAGTGCAAAAGGTATTGCAGGACTAATATTGCTGTAGGTCTTCTGGTGGCAAGTAATCATGTAAGAAACTACAGAAGTCAAACCAATAAAAGACCTTACCTTAGATCAGGAAATTCTTTGAGAATGGGCAGAAGGGCTATTTTCATCCCCTCAGCATCGGAAGTTTGAATAAGTTCTAAAATTGCTTTTATAGGATCCTTGAGGGGACCAGCTGCAGGACCCTGGGGAGAGAAGCGAAGGTGTGTTCAGGATAAGGGAAGCAGCATACAACATTAAAGAGCTGGACTCGTATCAGACTGGGGATCTCACTGTATGGGTTAGGAGCTTTGCAGGACTGTCTGTGCATGTATAGAAGCCTGTTTTCCCTCCAGGGTAGGAGAAAAGAAACTGGGGTGTAGCCACAGACTGCTTCCAGGGAAGCTGGGCAACTACCTTCAGCAGCACAGAATCCACTCCTGCATTTCCTTTGGCAAAGTGGGCAAATGTGCCTCATTTTTCCCTACATCGCCTGTCCTCTCAAGGCCATTTTGCCCTTTGGGAAGTGGTTTGCTTCCAGAGGTAAGCACAGCCCTGTACCTATGTGAAAACAAGCTCTGTTGGCCAGGCATGATGGCATTTCTGCTGCCCTCGAGCAAGCCCAGGGACAGAAAACTGACCTTGGGGAAAGGGTGAGGGGACACCATCCCTGGAAGTGTTCAAGGCCAGGTTGGATGGGGCTTTAAGCAACCTGGTCTAGTGGAAGGTGTCCCTGCCCATGGCAGGGGGGTTGGAACTAGATGACCTTTAAGGTGCCTTCCAACCTCTAACAGAAAAACAAAAAAAATGGGAAGGAGGGCTGGACACTGTAAAGGATATGACATGGCTGGTACATGCTGCATATGGTCAGCTCCCTCTAAACTGCAGGACACAGAAGAAGAAAGCCTCATCAAGAAACACACAGCATTTTTAGCAAAGCCTGAGGAAGCAGAATGCAGATGAACTGCCAAGAGAAAGCTTCAGGCCTTGTTCACATTTTTCATCGGTGCAGTAATGCGATTAAATTGCTTCCCTGAATTATTGATGCCATCACGTCAACAGAGACTCTGTGACAAAGCAAACCTGGAGAACAGGCTGCCAAACTGGGGCAGGAGAAGCCCAGGTTCCCCTGATCTCCACGGGGCATTAGAAACAGCAGGCCACATTCTCGGTGTGGCTCACCTCCACATTGAAGTTAAATTTAAAATAATAGTAATATTCTAAGACAGCCTTCTTTCTCTTCCTCTGCACTGCAGACACACAGCAAGTCTAGCTCTGAACAGCACACAAGCTGTACTCAGCTCCTAAGGTACCAATACTGTATAGCTTCATACTTGGCAAGCTCACTATTACAAAATGCTAATTAATTTGAAGGTGTCAGATTTAGTTAAGCACTATATAGACAGGCAAGGTCAGAGGTAAATAGCCTGCAATCTAAAAGGACAAAAAAGAGGTGTCTTGTCAGCAGTGCTTAAGTGTCTTTGACGTGTACTGCTCCGCGGAGAGAAGCAAGGTATTTCCCAAAGTGTTTTGAGGACGGAGGGGAAGGAAGAGCCTGAAGAGAGGGCAGAGAAGGGCAGGGAGCAGGTGCAGCCTGTGCAGCAACTGCACGATAAATTCAGTCTGCAGCAGAGTACATATTTTGCATGCATAACTGTGTACCTCATTTGACTGAGGATCAGGCTGTCCCCTGCAAATCGCTTACAAGTTTCCTTCCCGAGGTTTTCGGTGCTCCCACATCAAGTAAGAAAGCAAACAGACTGGGGATGCAAGGGAAACAGTGCCAACTAGATGCAAAATTTTTTCACCCAAGCTGAATGTAGGGGTGTTAGTAGAAAATTAGATTTCCTGTATCTCCTTTACACTATAAACCCAGCTTTCCTTGCACATTACATCCAAAGCTGATGCTGAGCACAGCATTACTGGTAAACTTCAGAGTTAAGATTAGAGAATCCTCTTGCTATTCCCAATGGCTCGATTGCTCAAAGCATTGACTTGTCTGTGATTGATCACTCCAGGAGAGGTGGGTCTTCAACTAAAAGCACTGGCAGCTTCCAGCTTTCCACCATGAAACTAATGCATTAATTGTAATGAGTCTGAGAGATTTTTAGAGGAGCCTACAGACAATCATTTTGATCTCATTTTATTCTTTGGAGAAAGTAAGGATTGCTGACAAATGACTTGCAGGGCAGCTCATCTGGGAGAAAATAGATTTCCAGTCCCTAGCACTTAAATTCACAAGTCATGAGAATGACTCAGAATTTATGAAATTATTAAAACCAATAAACCCAAAGTTTTTATCTGTTCTGTCACATCTGACTCCTGTTACCAGACTGACCTTGCAACTGTTAACGTGATTCTCAGTCCAGCCTCTTACAAAGTGCTATGCCTGGGTATTCTCAGCCTGCATTTGCAAAAGAGCTGTGGCAGGGGATGTTGCATGGCCCCGATTCTCTGGCTGGAGCAGCCACAGGCGGGTATGCTGCTGGCATTGCAGTCCTTGCCCTTGGCTAATCAAGGGACCCATGTGACAGCCTGGTGGCATCTGCAGATGCTGTGTGCAGTACTGCCAATTACACAGGATTATGAATTAAGCAGAGAGGCTTTTTTAAGCTTCTGAAGTTGCTTCTGCAAATCAGACCTAGCATTTTTCCACAACTTTTCTTCAAAGGTGTGGCTCTGCTTTTACACCCAAGCTATCCCTTCTGCAATGCATCTTTACCTCCTAATGGTGTGAGGTGTTTACCCCTGCAGGAAGACTCGCTGCCCCCTGTAACCGTCACCAACCACAACAGCATCAGCATGTTTCCGCCCTTGAGGAAAGACTGCAGCACAGGGAAATGGCTCATGCAGCCATCAGCCGAGCTCTGAGGGGCTGGGAAGGGCCTGCAGGGAGGGAGGAGGCTGGATGGAGGGGTAACAATGAATACCCCGTGTCCAGGGAGGAGTCGCCATACAGAGCAATCCACGGAGAAGGTGAAGATGTGGAGCAGCTGATTTAGTTCATCACTCCAGAGGCTCAAGGGCAACACAGCTCTTCCTCATCTGCACCCCCATGCCATGTACCAAAGTCTTGCCTGGGGGAGCTGACAGCTTTGGAGCTGTCTCACCAGCTCAGAGGAGCGCGTCTCATTCTTATTACAGTGGCAGGAGTGCAAAACTTGCCTCCTCTAGTCACACATTTCAAAACTATAAACTAACAGCTTCTGGCAGATCAGAAGGGCCATCAGCACATCTGATTGTCATTTCTGTGAAGCTGAATACCACTGTGGTAAGACGTCTTAAGCTTTTCTGTTGCTTTCAGAGCCTTTTCCTCTGCCAGTACTGTTCTTGATGACGGAGAGCAAAACAGTAACCATATCAAAGACTTACTAAGCACTCTTTAAAGACAGTTTGCAGCATCCTATGATCTTCTTCTATCTTGCTGACAATCATCCTCCTCTGCACAGAAGATGGTTTCCTGGAAGTGGTCGGGAGGGCCTGCACATATTCTGTAATAATGATGGTGTTGACAGCCTTGACCAGGGCCTGTTCCAGAGCAAAGACACCCAGATTAACTTCCCTGTACTGAGCAAGGACCAGATCATACCTAGAGGACTCTGACCAGTGTAGACAGAGGATATAGGATGGCTGTCCCATTTCTTTGCTTAAGTATCCCTTTAAAATGCCTGGTCTAACACATGGAGTACCTACCTCCAAGCTGTATGTTGATGACATAAACATTGATGATAAGTGTGGAGACATCCAACTAAAAACAATGGGACCAGTTAGCTGAGCCAGAGGTCACTCACACTTCAGAGCAGCAGTGACATTTGGCTTAGCTCCAAGCCAACAAACACATCACTTGGGGACAGCTTGGACTACAGACAAAGCCAGATCCAGCCTCCCTGGAGCATCCCCACTAGACATGTCCCAGAGCCATACCCTTGGGCACACAGTTGTGACTGGGCACAGAGAAGTCACCTGGGCATCTCTAAGCCACTCACTACCTGCTGAGAAACCCCAGTGCGGAGACCATGCAGTGCCTGAAAGGGGAAGGGAGGGTAAACCTTTCTAAGGGGAGATGGGCTGCTGCACAGAAACCACATTTTCATTAGCAATTGAAATCAGAGCAGTTTTAGGCTGCAGTCCAAAGGTACAGGAAATCCCCAGCCCTTTCCAAAACAGACAAAGCAAGAGACAGATAGCTCTGGCACAGCGCTCCACCACCAAGCTGCTGCTTGCCCCAGCACTAATGTGACATAATGTCCAGTGACAGGCTCTGAACAACAGCAGAATAGCTCCTAATTTTTTCTGTTCCATTACTTTTTTCCACATTTCAAAATGTTAATTCAAATCGGCACTGACAAAGAGCCTGCAGACCTGTTAGGGTAAGAGAAAAGGAGTCCAGTGCTTAGGGGCACATATGCGGCACAGGTAGCAACAGCAAATCCAACCTGTGTGCAAAAGAGGGTACCCCAAGCACCAATCTCATTGCCAAAGAGACAGACTCAAGGGTGTCGTGAGACCCTAGACAAATTGTTTAGGCTACTGTAAAGGTGAAAAAACTTAGGTACTCTGTGAGGTTGTTCTTTGCCAAGCCTGGCATATTTAACTGTGCTTGAGAGACTATGTCCTTTGCAGATCTGGACCTTTCACCTCTCCGTGTGTCCACTCTCTGTCAAAGGGATAAATATTCCTTACAACTAAGGTTGAAGCACATTAGAAGCTGAGATTTCCAATACAGTGGTATTGGGGCAATGGTAAGATGAGAGATGGCTCAACGCCCCCCCTCTGTATTTGGGAGGTACTTTCCATTTCCACATTTCTTCACTTCTTGGTTTCCCTGCTGAGATTACAGAAAGGTCCTAGCTGTCACAGTGAAGAAGATAGCCAACTCTGTTAGATAGAAGAACTGGACTGAGACCACTAGATCTTTAAAAGCCATTTTAACAACAGACAAAATTGTACTTTGGATTAATGTTCAAATACTGTGCCATCCAGAGGTTCAAGGACTAGTTGTCCTGATTTCCTGAGTAATACCTTGTTCTTACTTTCTTACTTACTTCTTACCTCATACGTGTCTGTTTTTTTCTTCCCAAATGCCAAAAAGCTTTGCTTTAAGGATTCAAGGATGTAGTAAAAACCACTGTCACACTTTTTGAAGTGCTCCTTCAGTGTTCCCTGAGGAAAAGGGACAGAGTCAAAGGGTGCACATGTAGAGACACTGCACAGAAGACAGACAAGGATTATTGTGCTTTTGCTCTTTCTGCTCTCGGAAACAGACTCCTCCACAAGCTGCAGTATCCTGTGCCTTCATTTCAAAGAAAAGCAAAACATGAAAGACAGAAACAATTCAAACTCAGGAAGGATGTATTACATTCTTAAGCCCAAACCTGGAAGACCAACAACTATGAAAAATGGGTGGCAATAGCTCTGATCCAGGGACTATGTAAAACGTGCCCCAGAAGATGAGGAGTGCAGGAAGAGCCAGCCATTCTGCACCCTTCTGCTTTGGCATCCTGCTCCCAGCATGGCTGTTGCATCTTATTCAATGGGAAAGTATAAGAATCATTTAGCAGGCAGGCAGGGGATAAACTCTGTCTTTCATGATTCAAAGCCTGTGTCAACACATCCAGAGAAGGACTGAAAATCTGAGCCCTAGATCTGCTGTTTCTCCCCAGGGTTGTCCATGCTCCCTGTCAGAACCACCCGCAGCTCCTGTCTTGACACGTGGGCCCATGGGACAGGCTGGCAGTGAGCTCTGGAGACCAAAACTGCACAGTGTGGCCAAAGTTTCTTTTGTTATTTTCCTCTTGCTGCCTTCAGCATGCTTGAGGGAGCCTGTGCAATGAGCCTGAAGATGCTCGGGGGAGCTTCCCAAGGAAACACAGAACACCACACATTATTAGGAGCCTGCAATTGCACGTTACCTAGACATGAAGCCCAGAATATGAAGGTGGGTGTCTGGGCTAATAGTCTAATATCAGAAAGTATGAAGGGAGGGAAACTTATCCCAAGCGAGGGATCCATTTCTGGTCAGCCTTCTCTACATCGTGACTACCCACCACAGCCTTGGGCTCTGTGAGTTACCACTGCCCCGAGAAGATGCCCAGCTGCTGGGGATGAGTAGGTATCATATGAAGTTCAACCCTTGGGGTCTGGGTGCCCAGGGGCACCATGGTGTGCTCATTTGTAGCACAACAGCAAATTCTACAAACAGTGGAACTGGGATCCTAAAAACTGGAAAAGACAAAGCTGTCAATACACAGCTTCAGACAAGGCAGAGGAGGGTACTGGGCATGAAGATCAAACTATGGTCTCACCCTTTCCAAATCAGGACATGAGAGTGAAGTGCATGCCTGCCCTACAGTCTGAAAATATTCAGTGTTACATGGGTCTCCCATACCTTGACTTTAGAAGTGACAGCCTGCAGAAAATGCCCCAAAATCTCATCTTCCATCCTGTCCAGAAATCCATTTACCTTAACATCCTGACCAGTGCTGGCACTGCAAATGTATGTTAGCTTATGCCAGACAATCCTGTAAAAAAAAAAAAAAGGATATGGAAAGTATTGATCAGATCAAATCAGGCTATTCTCTCCGATCAAAATTCTTCCTATGGTAACAAACACGACTGCCTGGATAATTGAACGGACCAAGTCCAGGGCTAGCTCAGTGACCCACATATGTGCACCCATCTTTTGGAAGGGTCTCATTAAGATGCTGCCACAAGGACACAAAAGCTCCATGTACACAAATGCCACTTGTACCCATCACTAGAGATATTTGATAAGTAAAAATTCTAGTATTTTCAAAAATGAGTACACATGAAGTGACCTTGATAAATGGAAGCTGGGTGAGCATCCTGTGTGCCTCCAACACTCTACAAATATAAGACAAACAATTATCTTCCATCAGAACATTCTTCAAGTCAGCAAATCCTAGTTAAAATGACCACCCGCTTGAAACCAGACATTTTACTTTCTGGAAAAGCTCAGTGTGTAACTTCATTCTCAGTATCACTGTAAAGAATCACACAAAAGAGCCTCATAAGTATTCAGTCTAGGATCCAGCATCAGCAACACGCAAATACAACAAATAAAACAGCTACCTAGGCTCAACACGAGGCTCCGATGTCAAGTAAGCACTGTGCATATGCTGGATCTGGGCGTTTTGCTGACTCCAGAGATCCCCAGATAATTTTACACAGGAAGAAGAGAAGCAACCTTGTTTTCTCCATCGCTGCAAGCACTTCTGAAATTAGCTCGTAGGTGCAAACAGCCTCCCCCACCCTTCTGTGCTTTATTGCTTCCCTCCTTCCTAGCAACCCCAAGGAAAGCCTGGCATGTTCGACTGGGTTTCACTCAGCAAAGCACTTACTTAAGCTTGGGCTTACCTTGAAGTGCACTAGCACATGCATCTCAATGCAACATTTATGAGGCTTTCCTAATGAAGGAGAATCAGGCCAGCAAAAGGCACCACATCGCAGCTCACAGCAGGGTTGGCCAGGATAATGTCCCCACATGCAACATGGCATTGCTGCCTGCCTCCTGCTCAGGGTCGCGGGTACCAGGAAGAGCAAGATGGTGGACCACAGGCTACGGCCCCTGCACCTGCAGGGCCTGGGAGCTGGCGAGAAGCAGCAGTATGGTGCTGCCGACACAGCAGTCCTGGCTCTGGCCACAGGCACAGCCCCTACCCGAGTCTCCCTCTTGCTGGGGCAGCCAGGGCAGCTCTGAAGGGGTCTTGCTGACTGCAGCTGGCTCACTCCGTGCTTAAGGGTTGGTGTGCATGGGGTTGGATGACCAGATCCAGCGGGAGGCAAGGCTGATGCCATAGCAGAGTTAGAAGAAGATCAGAAAGCAGAAAATTCATTTTGCTTCCCATGCCACTAGGGTCTGGTTTCTAACCTGAGAATGCAGCAGTTCTCCAAGATTCGTAAGCCGCTGCAGATCCCTGGGCAGCCATCGAGCTGGAGAAAGCTTCTTACTTCATTTCCATAGCTAAATTAAAACAGGAAGACGTATCTTTAAGCTGGTGTGCTCCATAACGCATCTGACAGCATTAGCCCAGCAGCAAATGGAAGAAATAATCTGTGATTATTTGTCTTTTCAGCACACACAGTTTCACTCCCAAGGTGGGATCTACAGCAGGACAAAGACGGTCTCTGTCCTGCCCAGCTGGCAAGGAAAGAGAGCACAGGAACAGCACAGGGAGAGCCCTCGAGCTGTCTGGGTGCCACTGCTAGGGATCGAGAGGCAGGAGGTTCACTTTACTATTGCTGTTGCTGCAACACTTGCTTCTGGGAAGCAACTCGGGCTTTGCTGATAAAGCTGCAGAACAAAGCCTCAGCATGTATGAATAACCCACAAAGTCTATCGACTGCTTCATCACAGGTTCAGTCTCACAAATGGTTCCTGGATAACTCTGTTTTATAGGAATTTCCTTCCTCTCATAATGTGAAGGGCCAAGGATCTTAAATCAAACCTCCTTCTGAAATATTCACCTACAACCAGCAGTACTGGCATTTTCTGCTGCCGGAGGTAGACAGGGAAGGAGATGCCCAAGAACAAAAAGCAGATAAAGAGACCCAGAAGAAATGGTGAGAGGGCAGAACATGAGAAGGCGGCATTTGTCCTCCTCTGAGAAGCAGGACAGAGCAGAGCTCCTCACCCTCCCAGGGAGCCAGCAGAAAGCACCATGCCTGGGAAGTGCAGCCAGGGTAGGAAGGGCCAAGCCTGGGCACTGGCCACGTGGCTGCCCCTCTTTCTGGTTGTTTTTAAGGTTTGAGCCTCTCCAGAATAAACATCCCCCAAGGCTTTAACGTGTCCAGGCAAGTCCAGGTGCTCCCTCAGCTTTAGTCCAACAGCAAATGCCGAGCACATAAAGAGCAGTGAAGCGCTGTCTCTCCAGTAGCAGCTTGATGGGAAACAGCCATCAAACAAAAAAGGGGCAATGGCAGATCCAGGTAAACACAGCATCACCAGTCACTTCATCAGGATTTCTTACTTTTGAGCACTGAGGACATGTCAAGGAGGAAAACAGCATCCCTCCTACCTCTCCAGGAACCTCAAGCACTCCTCCAGGCACACAGCCTCCACCTTCTCACTCAGGCTCTCACTGACATGCCAGGCAGCCTCCGTCTTCTCTGTTAGTATCTGTGGATTTCAAGGCATGAGAGGAGAATGGGCCAAAGTAATTTTTCCCTATGCAGTGAACAGGAATATATCCCATCCCTCACTCCACTGCAAATCCCTCTGCCATCTAGGCAACGACTTCTGTTCCAGTTTTGAGAGCCCTTGTGGAAATAAAAGTATTTTTTAGGAGCCTGATTTTAATGCCTGATCCTACGCCTTTGCCACTGCTGCTTTCATTGCAGTCAACAGGCTGGAGCCAAGTCCTGCACTCGGGGGAAAGCCTGTCCCTACAGATGTTCTCTGCTAGCAATGTCTAGTCTAGCAGCTCAGTTCATGCAAAGACCTGCCATCTGAGGGAGCACCTGCACTTCTGCATGATTCACCCTCACAGATAAATTTGGGTGCAGACACTAAAAAAAAGATTAGGCAGCTGTGTGTGCCCTGCGCCTCTGCCAGGGTCTCCACCAGCGATGCCTGAGGAAGACGGATGTCTTCTTCCCAGCCACCACTGCTCACGCCTGACACGGCAATGTGTGTTAAACCCCACGGCGCCTGTCTCGCCCCACTGACCCCAGATAGGTGGCCCAGGTGCCTGCAGGAGGTGGGCTGTGCCAGACAGCTAAAAATCCACCCCATATTGGGCAGGCTTGAGCAGGTGGCAACTTAATGCTGCCCATTAGTTGCTCTGTGGAAACAAAAGCTTGCAAGGGGAGGAGAGCCAGATGGATAAAAGGAGACAGATGGACTTGTATGCTGTGCTCCCTCAGTGCTCTGGGAAGCATCAGCCAGAGACAAAGGGTGACTCACATCGTGAATGGCTTTTTCCACTGCTCACAACAGATGTAAAAGTTCACCCAAAGGGACAGGATAAAATATGCCACCCCAAAGAGGCAGGAAACCATGGCTGATGAGTTTCCATGACACCTTGCTCATTTTCTATCTGATCTTTAAGTGTCAGCCTGAGAAAACTGAGGAGGCGGTAATTTCATAAGGCTTGCCTATTTATCCAGGCTTTTCCATCCCCTACCCCAAAGCATTCAAACCTGTCAGTTACATACACAATAGAGCAAAACCACTCGTGCTGAAGCATGGCCAGATGTTGCAGATATGACAACAGCGTTCGGCCCGGTCCCTGTTAGAAACCTTTGCTCTGTCAGCCAGAAGCAGGAAAAAAAATGCCAGCTCGGTGGCTAAAAGCCACCCTAGCACAGGTACATCACTGAGTACATCACTGCTCCAGAGGGCATATGGCAAGGTGAGGAGGGAGCAGTCCCCTCTGTGAGCTCTGTACTTGGTGCCTGGGTCTGAGTTCAGCCAGTAAAGCCAGTTTTTGCCAGCTAAAGCTGTATCCTCACAAGGAAGGCCAGCTGCTGTTGATCTGCAATGCCTACTACCAGCCTCCAACAGGGTGTGTGAGGTTGTCTGCCATCCCAAATGACTATGGGGCTACTTCCCTTTCTCGTGACCTGAAACAGGACTGCCACTGGGGTCGTGGCACAGGACAAGAAAGATATAGTCACGGCAGCCCACAACCTGCCCCTGATCTCTAGCATCACTTGAGTGTAACTCCACATGTAAACTCCAGGAATTATTTTAAGCCTTCTGTGGGTCTTGATCCAAACACCCTCTGGCCACGCTATGTACTACTCATAAATCAGCAGAGTGTGCTTCTGCAATGCCCTTTGAGCACTCAGCTTTGCTGTGCCCTGAAGTAGTCCCTTGTGCTGCCTAACCCATCAGGGCAGCAGTCACAGCTGTACCCAGCACATAAGCAGGGAGCAAGCTGCCTGCATTTGCACTGCCAGATATGGGGACCTACATGGCTTGGCAACTCTTGCTGCTTTTATAAAAGTGCTCTGCAGAACTCACACAGAGCAGGCCGGTTAACATACACCATGACTTTCTAAAAGGTTATACAAAAATCCAAGTGCATATATGAAAATGCAATTGCAGCTTGAACCAGCTAATCTCAGGCTCATCCTTTTTTAGTCAGTTTAGTTTTCTTCATATATGCACAAGAGAAAAACAGATTTGGGAGCAAACAGATGCGGTTTAAGTATGGCAGATAACTGGCAAGCTTTTAACACACCAAGCTTAGCCCAAGACATGCAAAACTAGGTCTTGCCAAATACCTATGTACTTGTGTGCAAAAACAGGACTGCCCCAAAATACAAGAGCTTTTCAGTTCCCCCCCGGTTTACCTGAATGACTGCAGCATCTGCACAAGGGGGTTTCCCAATATCAAAGGCTTCTTTCAGGGCTTTCCTTACTTCCTTCTAAATATTAAAAGAGAAGAAAAAAGAACAGTTGAGATACAATGGCATTTGTAATGAGTTAGGTTTCCCAGCTTCTCATTATGCATTTGGACTGGATGAATTTCTGCCTCCATTTTTTGGCCATCTTGTTTAACCCAAAGCCTGGCTATTTTCCAGCTGACCTAATAACATTGTTCTGTTTTGTTCTACATTGTTTGTTTGAGTTTAAATGATTTGCAGCTTCCTTTCATCCCAGTGTCAGCTTGGGTTATCTACAGTCTTCCCTAGTTAGCTTAGCTCAAATGAAGGCGCCCGCAAAGCAAAACAACACTTAGACACAACTCTGTGCAGCCAGCTACTGTAGCTGAGATTTTCCACCCTTCCTTGCTACAACCAGCACCCGCATAAACCAGCCAGCGTTAATTAAAAGCATTCCCTCACTTAAGCCAGGGACTTGTGAGTCCAAAGAGGAGTTGAGTTAGTGTTTAGAGCTACTGTCATGGTGAGATGAGCCCCCTGAGGCTGCACGATGGGAAATTTCCCAAGACTTGGCTGGCTGGTGTTGTTTTGAATGGACTGTAAAAACAAAACTAACACTGCAGAGAAAGGGCTCATTGCTTAAAACATGATCTGACCTTTATAGAAGCTTTAAACTCAAAAGCCTGGCTCGCTTATTTATTCTTTCATTTCTGCATCCTCCTCCAAGGAAATAAAAAGAATGTAAAGTCTGATCTTCCATTTTTGTCTTTGTTCTTTTCTGGCTGATGAATTAGGAAATTTGTGGCTGTCACTGAAGAATTTCATCAAAAGTATATTCAAAACAACTGCTCTGCCATAGTCATTGAAAAATGTTAATCAAAGACAAATAAGCAGTTGTAAACAAACCAAGAAAAATTCCTTTCCTCTGAGTGCCATCACCTGACTGTGAGCAATTGTGTGAACACGATGTGCTGAGATAACACATCCCAGCCGAGCTGCACAAACACTTCTAGCCTGCCCCAGTTGCACAGTAAAATGTGTCAGCTTAAGCCAACATGAAGGTCTTGCTCCCCAGTGGGACAAAGCATGCATTTAGTTAGTAACTGCAAGGCAATAACTTGTTGAGCCACTGTACTTAGTTGCTTTGGATCAGATGATGTGTCTGAATTAGCATGAGCTTGCTTGTTTGTAGTTCTCATGGTGACACCAGCACCTCAGGCACCAAAGCTCCAACATGGAGAGGACCAGAATTTCTGCTGTAACAAACAGGCCCATAAATAACCTCAAGTTTCCTCCTTGTCCCTCCCTGTCTGACCAAGACATAGTACCCCATGCTGTAAAAGCTTCAGATCCATGGATGGCCAGCCCGCCGGTGCTGACTGCCCAGCCAACCGCTTCCTCTTGGAAAACACAAGGGGGTGAGTTATAACTTGGGTCCCTCATCTGTCCAGCTGCTGTTTTAAAACATGCAAGAATTTCACATCCTTGAGACCTTTACATCGTTATCAAGTGCGGTCAAAATTCGCTAAGAGGCTCAACATGGGTGGGAGCGCACCACTGACAGACCGGCAGGAAGGTGGGCAGAAAAACTGCACAGCCTTATTTTTTTGGGTAGCAGCAGGTCCTCAGCCCAAATTCTCCAAAGCACATGAACTTCTCAGTCCTCCTTTTGTCTACTTGAAAAAATAGAGGAAGGGAGGGAGAGAGGGAAGAAGTCACAGACCCTAGCGATCCTTTGCAGGTCAGTCTAAACCCTCTTCGAGCTTTTGTCCAGGTATGCATGTCCAGTCCTGCCATCTCCGGTTTTGGACAAAGAGCCAGTTTTGAGCTGAGGCTGCAGAATCAGGGGACAGAAAGTTCATTTTCTACCTCCCAGTATCAGAATGAACCCTGGCATCATGCTGGAAAGTTTGCCTTGCACTCATGTCAAATTCCCCAGTACAGTAAGGGCAGGGGTGACGGATCAAAAACCCAGTCGATGGCACCATCATTTCCAGTTCACCAACCTTGCAGCCTCAAAAGGTGCAAAGCCCCCTTGCCCTAGAAGCGTTCGGGCTGAGGGAACACCGCCTGCATGCAGAGCTGCCAAGTTCCCCGCAGTGACGTTTGGAAGTGGTTTTGAACCCCACGTGGCGTCTGAGCTCTCAGCACCTTCAGATGTGGTCACAGTTCTCATTGCTCATTTCTGTTTAAAGTGCTTTTAGTTTGCACAGGTATCAGGCTGGCATTCCCAGTGACAAGCCAGGTATTCATAGGCAAAGCAGACCATGGCTTATTCTGGTCAGTCTCTTTTCATTTAGAAAAATTTAGTGATCCATTGAAGTGGCAAAACCTGCACCATGTGATTTACAGTCACAATTATATATTACAATTGCTCAGAGATAACTGACAGGGTATTTGCTCAATAGCAGCTTCCTGTGTACTTGGAATAATGAAGGGCTGGAGTATCCTGGAAAAAGAAATAGAGGGATAAAGCAGGTTTTATAAGCTATGCCACTGAGCCGAGTGAAGAGACATCTATAATTTTTCCATATGGAGTCAGCTCATGTCCACTTAAGCTCATTAGCTTGAAACTGGAGCTGGTCCTAAAGTGGACAGGTTTGAAGAGAGCTGGGACGCTGCTGCACCACACTCTCCAGCAATTCCAGCTCTGTTCTCCCTGTACAATGTGGCACCATGTAGAGCCGTAATGCTTCCAGATCCAAGGTGGCATGAAAAAATGCAGCCAACTCAGGGCAGCATGGCACAAGAGTGCATAACCACTGCCAGATCTACGTGAGCCTGCTCAACACATGGTAGATCAGGAAAGCAGAAAGCCCATGATTAAACAAAAGCTTTCTCCAGCCATTACCTTAGAGGAAACTGAAAAAAAAAAAAGAGTTAAATTCTCCATCACTGTTAGTCAGCATCTGTATGACTCAGTGACATGCTTTAAGATAACCTCACTAGCACTACCCTGAGTAAAGTAATCTCCTTCACTGAAATAAGTGCCAAAAGCAGACCTTACGAACATGTGGTCTTCCCCAGGGTAATGATTAGAAATAGCCCATAAAGATGCTTAATGTTAAACACTGAAATCAGTAGGTTTAAAGCATATTGTCACCAGCTGGCACCTCTACTCCCATGTTTGTGACTACCTTCCTGTTCTCCTTCAGGCAATAGGTCTCGAGGAAAATCTCTGCAATTTAGAGTACTTTCCCTGGAGTGATTCAGCAGTTTGCCATGGAATTTCCCCTCCTTTGCTCCCCTGAGGCTGGTGGAAAGGGAAAGCGAGAGAGATGAGTGTGGTAACTCCTGCTGCTGCATTTCAGCTTTAGCTGAATCTAAAAGGCCCTGCTGAGTTTTCCAAATAGCATGATTTCCTCTGGAGTTCCCCGTTGCTACAATGCATCTTCCCTGCTTCGTTTGTATTCCACACACTGAGACAGCATTCTTCAAAAGGGAAGCTTTGCTGAGAAAAGGAGATCCCGCAGCCCTGGAGCTGAGGTCACCTGTGGGATCCCAAGGCAGGATGCCCTGCTCCGACCTTACAGGAGTGCTGTGCCAGGGTGCACCAACTGCACTATTTCTTATGCTGGGCTCTGGAAATAATCTTTGCTATAACCTCAGCAGCATCCAGCAGGCTGGAAAGGGCTGTGACGGGTCCACATACAGACAAATCCAGCAGCCTCAATATCCTGCACAGCTGAGGCAAAGGGGCTATTAAAAAACCCAACTGTTGCACACTGTGGGCTCATTAACAGCTGGTGAGATGAACAGCATCTTGAAATGGCCCTCAGTAAGGAAGTGGATTTCACGCATAGCTTCCCTTTCCTCCAGATACATTGGCTTCTGAGCAGAGTAGATTGCAGCACTTTGAAGGCGCAGAAGTGGGATGAACAGAGATTTGCAAATGTCTCAGCATCTCTTTGCTAAGGAGCAAGGACAGGGCAGCATCCCTTTGGTAGAAGACAGTCATGGATCTTCACACCTGGGCTCTGCAATGAAACTCAGCCAAGATGGAGACGTTGGGGCTCACACACACCTGAGCAGAGCTGGCTCAGCTAGCAAGAGAGCAGCTAATTTAACAAAGGCATTACTTATTTTAAAACCATGGGAATAAAACAGGCAGATTAGGGTAAAACTCCTGAGTTCTTACCTGGGCGACTGCAAGTAACTTTTCCTCAGTCTTCAGTATAATCCACATGAGACACTGCACACCAAGGGAAAGGCCGTGTTGGGGGGTCTCCCTGGGTCTCAGACATGTCTCGCTGCCACTGTGTACAGAAATAAGAGCTCAGCCAGAAGGGCAACTTCCCGCTGGTCCACAGCCCATCGCCCGCCTGCCACCCCCTGCTTGGCACCACAGCTTCATGCTAAGCAAATGGGGTGCCCTGCAAGCACCCAGCAGTCGGGGCAGCCACAACATGGTAGATGATCTTTACCATGCCCTTTTGCCAGCTATTCTTTTGTGCCGCTTCTTTTCCTTCTTCCTATATTTGCTGCCCAAATGACACTTTTTGCTCACCATTTCCCTCTCCCCTTCCCTCAGTCCTGCTGCTGAATTCCTCTTCAGGCTTGGGCAGAGTCACCCAAACACACTTGCACAGATGCACAATTTTACAAGCATCACATATTCTCTCTGAATGGAATAAAAAGCAGCTATATAGCAGGACAACTGCATCTACACTAGAGCTTTCATTAAGGTTGTAACTGTATTTGGAGAGGAAAATCCAAACAGTTACATCTGGCATCTCTGTTCTTCTCATTTCCACTTTCTTCACTACCTTCTGACCTTAATACAGTCACAAGCTGCTCTTGTGGTTTTTTTTCTTGAAGGAATTCAGCATTTGCATAACACTTACATTTTTTCCTATCTTCGAGCTTTTCATTATATATTTACATTATATAATTATTCACCTCCAGCTTCGTGTAAGTTTTCAATATTTCACCAATCCATTACTCTTACCTAAACCCAAAGTTTTACCATTTTAAACCCATAAAAGTAGCAGTAGAAGGGATGCATCCTGGCCACATGGCTCCCATGTGTCTGAGGACAGCATGCACCAGGATGTACCCACTACCCTGCCTCCCTCCTTTGGGAGCTGGTGAGGGGAAGAGCCCACCTGATGAACTGTTCATGAGCTAATCAAGGGTTTACAAGTGTAATTAATACAGAGAACATAGAAGCTCTAGGCTTGGATGGAAGCAATCAAATAACCCAAAAGGGCTGAAAACTATTAGGACATAAGTAGATTGGAGCTGTCAAGTAGCAAAGTAACCATGGACACAGAGAATCAAACACCTCATCTACCACTGTCATACAAAAAGAAATCACAAGAAAGCTTCAGGCTTTGATGATACCCGCAGGCTTTGAATTCACATTGGGCCAAAAGGTCCCAGATGTGCCGCTCTTCAGATCATGGGGAAAGCCACATCCGTTTTCCCAGACTTGGGCAGGATTTTAATGATCTGCTATGTGTTTTTCCTGTGATCTGAACACTAATGCAGGAAATATGGAAACAACTGGTCAAACTACAAGCCAGATAAAGCAGCAAGAGAACCAAGGAGACAGCAAGAAAAGTCCGCAGAGCACCATGCTGACATAAAAGGCAAGAGAAAATTATTCTGGAGTAATCAGAGTATTATGGACCTTGCTAAAAAAGGCTTAATGTGAGAAAAGACATTGTTCAAGAAAGCAGGACACTGTGCATGTCCAACAGGAGTCCAGCAGAGAAATACCTGCCTACTTCAGGTAAACCCCGGAGCCCAATACTAAGGATTTAGAAAGAGGCAGTATTGCAATGAAAAAAGGCTCTGATTCTGAGAGCACGGAAGACAAAACAGACAGTGGGCAAGTCTAAACTCAGCAAGAGTCCTGAGCATCATTGCATTAACAGGAAGCAGGGATGTGCTCAGAACTGATGAATTGAGACATAGAAAAAAATGTAGAGGAAAAGAAGTCCTTCAAACATACCTTTTGTACATTTTAAGGCCCCATTCATAAACTGAAAGACATTGGCTGAAGCTGAAATGGTTACTGTCAGTAAGTGTGGAAAGGTGAGAAGACAAAGAGGCATGACAGCAGCGGGCATAGGTGACAAGCAGTCCGGCTTCCTTGAAGACATCACTTCTGTGCTCCAGGCTGGGGAGAAATGTCGTTTCCAGCTGACTCAGATGCTGGTGTAGTGCAGTCTTGTCTGTGTTACTAGAGGACCCAAACTGGGGAATCTGGGCTGTCATGTACTGTATTAGTTTTTCCTCCAGATCTTTCCTCCAGAAGTTTGGACGCCAGGTGGAAACACACTCCGTCTCTTGGCTGCTGCCAAGCCACTCTGCTTCCTTCTGCTTCTGCCACTTCAGTGATTCCCCCACCGACTGCAACGGCTCCAGGAACATCCTACCACTTCCACTGAGTGCTTCTCCCACCACAGTCCACATTCGCTCAGCCAGCAGCATATAAAGTGATTCAGATTTTGCCACACCATCATTTCCAGAATGCTCCAGGTCATAAATATGATCACAAGCTTCAAAAAATTTTCCTTGCTCAATGAATCCACAGATGGTTTCCTCTGCAATAGAGAGAGTAACAAGACAACTTGATGTTTGTTCACTCCTCTATTAGGACCCATCACTTCTGCAGCTTTCTGTCATCATCCCAGTAGACCTCCTCATGTGGGCAATGCAGGTTCAATAATGACAATCTTTCCTTAAGGAATATACCTTTTGTCCAGAAGAAAAGCATTACAGAAAGGACATCTGAAAGCCAACAGATGAAAGTCAAGCCTAGAAGGAATCCTCCGTCTTCTCTACAGAAGCCTTGGCAGGACCAAAGTGCTGCAAACTCTCTTGTAAGGTCCCCCCCACCTGCTCAGTCTGCCATGGCTACACAGAGGGTGTCACTCCTGCCAGTGAGCTCTTGTCTTAGACTGAGACTGCTCAGTGCAGTCCAGGGCCCTCTCTTTGCCGGGGCTTTTTAACTAGGCCAAATGACCATGCGTGCTATTTTGCCCAAAGGTGAAAACCATAAGGTGGGCTACCCATCTGCAGCGTCTCAGCAATGGGGATTCACGTAACTCCCCATGACTTCCATGTCTGCAAGAAGTTGTGGTGACTGAGCCACTGCCCTAATCACCAGACACCCCGTCAAGGCAGTTATGAAATCTTTAAAGTTCATAAGTTGGAAGAAGTCTTTCACCGCTGTTTGTTTCCAAAGTATCTTACCCATCACACCCAGCCCACCACTAAGAGTTAAATGTAATCTCACAACAGCTGCACAGAACTGCGGTTTTTTTCCTGTGCGTTTTACAGATGACAAAATTGAGCAACAAAGGGTTAAGAAGATTTGCCCAAAGGTATCTGAAGCAGCACCTAGAGGAAAAAACAAACTTGTTGAGAACCCAGGGAAAAGTTAAGCAAGGCCAGAGGCAGTGGGACCCTGAAATCAATTCAGGATACAGCTTTGGGTCTAGAGTGAAGAATGAAAGAGCATGAGCTTCCATTATCTTTCACCTGCATCCTTCACTTTCCCCTATGAAAACACCTCGTCTCTGTACTAAGACTTATATCAAAGAGGACTGGAGAGAGGAACGTGACACAAAATGGAGAAGGCCGGATGCAAGGATCTTCAGCAAAGCAATGGGCAAGCTGCTCAGGAGGGGACTAGCAAGCTGCACTCATCCTGCCTCGATACCTGTAACACTCAGGAAATGTTTACTTGGTACAATTAGCCCATGTACAATTTACCTCCCCCTCCCCATCTGTGGAAGAACAGCACAGTCACACCCGACAGGGTGTCAGTCACATGTACCTCATCTTTCTCACAAGACACATCAGGAGTCTTTGCAGGGATAAAAATAAGAACAGCAAAGAGAAATACTTGTGAGGCAAAGGGAAAGCGAAATACAGAGGTTTCCAGAGGAGCAAGCACACAGTTCAGAAAGGACAAGAACTTGGGTGAAGGATGGAGAGGAGGAAAGCGCAAAGCACCTACTCCAGAAGCTAATGAAACCAAGAGCCTGCAGGGCTGAGAGAGGCAGAGAAGGTCCAGGACTGGACCCAGAGATAACTTCAAGGTTACCTGCAGGCATCTCTCCCTCTGCTCCCTTCCTGCTGGTTGCTGTCTTCAGCAAATTCCCTGCCACATCCTCACTGCCAGCCTTCTCCTCCACTGCCTCTTTCCCACTAGCCACGGACTTTAGTAATTTGCCTGCCATGGTTTTCAGTTTCCCTCTCCTCTTCGCTTCCTGCTTCTTTCTTTCCTCATGCGTGGCTTTGGGCAGCATCTTTGCATTTTCCCCAGCCATTTTCTCCCACTTGCTGCCTCTTCCTGCAAAGGCTGCCCAGGAATATTTCATCTTCCTCATGATCCAAGCAGATTCAGATGCTTTCTGTCCAACTGGGAATACTATCAGAAAAAAAAGTTAGAAACATTTTGATGCAAGGTGATCTTAGCAGCTGTCTCCCAGAGAAGTAATTTCTCCCCAGATTTAAGTTTTTTTCTGTGCATCTACAAGCTTCAGCTGCCTTTGAAGAAGCCTAACCTGGTTCCTGCCCGTGCTGAGTGGGGACATTTTTATAGGCTGCCAGGCCTCTTATGTAATCTGTGTCTCTTCAAGGGAAATAATGTCAAAAACCTCATACACAATCTAACCACAAGCCACTGGGGGAAAGCCAGTGGGATTTTCAGCATTTTCTAAATGATTAAAACATCCCTGCACACTGCCAGTTATTTCGATGACAATCCTATCAGTTTCAGGGAGTTGATAATTAATAGTTTCTATGAAGCACACATCATTTTCCACCCACTCCACGTGCCCCATCTGAACCTGAGCTCTTCTTTGGCAAGGAGATCATGCCTGGCTTTGGAGCCAAATTTTTCCCCACCTATCAGCAAGCCTAGTGTTAGCCAACAGGGAAGTAAAGCCCTGGAGAACAGGTGATGGTTTTCAGGTTTTAACAGCACCATTCAGAGGAGATAAGAGCGATCTCAGCTTTCTGGATTGTGCAATTTTCCAGCAACTATATACACTATTGTATATTATTTTATATTTATACACACACACACGTATACATAAATGGCATAACATTACAGCAATGCATCGTAAATGTGTGCATGTCTCTGTGTGTCCGTGTGTATGCGCACATATAGGTCTATTCACCAGCCAGCCTCTGGAGTAAAGAGAAAGGAGATGTATGCCCATTCAGTGCAAGCACCTTATTGGCGAGTCCAGGGCTGTTAAAGGTTCTGATCCATAATCCTCAGAACAAATTCCTACACAGAAAATATCACTTAACTCCAGGAGCTCATGTTTAAAATAGATTTTTAAAAAGTCCCTGCACTGCTGTAAGAAAGACACTACACTTGGAGATAAGCTGAAATGCTGTCCTTACCATGCTGTCTTTGCTAGATAGTTACAAACTGGTTTTTGTTTCTCCTTTCCATTATTATAAAAATGAAATCAAGACCTTGAGGATTTTCATCAGCTGAAGAAACAGTCTTGTATGAACCATTACAAGCTGTATTGATTCAAAACCATACATTATTCAAGAATTATTTTTGGGGGGTATGAATTTAAGGGGCAATTTTTTCCACACAGCATCTAGATTAATCCAAATAAGTGCATTCATCTTTCTGGGTTTAACGCCTGCAGTTTTTTCCAAGATTTTCTACATTTTCGTGACAGTAAAATTCCACTAGTTTCCCACTTGGAAACCAAGTAAATGTTATGTTGTTCTGGCTCTTTTACTCAGTGCTTAATTCCACCAGCATGTTATCATGGAGCCATTTGATTCATTAGTAACAATAGGGAGGAGGAAATAAATCCATTTCATTTGGAAGGAGAAACAGAAATTCCAGCAGTGGTCATAAATTTGAGCTGTTGCCAGTAGGAAATACTGAGGTTTCAAAATACAGTGTTTTCCCAGGTTGTGAAAAAGGTTGAAAATTGAGAGGCTTTATGTACGTTCCATTTTGACCTTAATTTTTAATTGGCTAAAGTTAAAATGTTTCCTTTGGAATATTATAGCTGCACTATATATGAATACAAGACGGAGTGAGAGGGTTAGTATTGAAGAGACGCATTGCAGGCATGCTGAAACCCTTCAGCAATATTTTCTCATGAAAATTCCAACACAATGTGTTTATGTTTCACTTCATCAGCATTTTTCCAACAAGTCCGGCTTTAACAAAAATCATTTCCCCAGACTTCTCTGTGGAAGGAAATTGGATGTCAAAGTGCCAGTCCTGCAGGCAAGATTCTCTGCAGTATACGGATTTTTAACACAGTACCGTTGCAGATTGTGCCCTAAACTGAGGCAACATGACGTATGGGAATTGCTGTATTTTCCCAGAAAGCTTCTTTCAAGGGAATACAATATGAGCCTGTGGAAAGCGGCAAGTGACTGAGCAGAGATGGATAGACTTCCTGAGGCTAGGACCATCTCTTGCTCCGTGGTCCACTCAATCCACTCAATCAAAGCCATGGTAGACACTCCGCAAGATGAGAGTGCCCTGAGGGCACACCCCATCTGAGCACTGCAGCACCAACAATCCAGATCTCATCTGTTCTACCTTTAATTGGTTCACAAACCAGGCGCAATGTGTGTGTATAGGCAAAGCAGGCAGTTGCCTAGGGGAGCAGGCAGCTATGAACACCCTACGAAGGGACAGCAAGTTGGGGATGGCCTTTCTGACGGTGGGCACTGAGCCCATCAGCAGCATGAGGTGATGCCCCATCCCTCCTGCTGCAGCAGGAGCAGCAATCCATCATCACCCACTCTGCGCACCTCTGCCCACAACTACTTTCCAAAGGAAAGGGTTGAAGCATGGCATCACTGAGGGGAAATGCACTGCACCAGGAGAGGACATGCCACAAAGGAGCTGCCAAAAGGCCACCAGCAGCCTGTTTTTCTGGGTCTGTGTGCCTTAACAGCACATGCAGGGTGCACAGGTCTCTCCCCTCTGTCTCTAATGCTATTTTACCGCTCAGGCTAAAGTTCTGCAGCTAAAACATGGGGATGATTTGAATCTCTAGGAACATCTTCTACCACAGTGCTTCCATGAATGGTTTTATGCCTAGACAAGCAAAGTCCCCGGGGAAGCTACACCTTTACAGAAGAGGAGCTGAAAAGGGTCACGATCAAACTAGAACAAAGGTCTTTCACCAAGTGTTAACATAATGCAAAGGGGTTGTTTGCTGTCCAAAACCATCATTTTGGGCAGTGGAATTGGGGCACTGCTACATTTCACCTGCCTCTTCCTGGGCTCCTGAGCTGCCCACCCAAGGGGAGTCCTTCCAAGCAGAAACAAGGGCAGTAGGAAACCACAAGAACACAGCACTGTAACAAGCACAGTTCTGCTTCTGAACAATCTCCTTTGTCAGGTGTACCAAATGACCTTCTTCTTCCTCCAAAGCCACTTCTTGGAAGCCCGCCCCTGCCCCCTCCTTCTTCCTGGTGTTTCAATGCCTCTATTTTATCCACAGTGTGACGTTCTCTAGGGGGGTCATTCTCCTTCCTGCCCTGACCCTTGCTAAGCTCACTGAGGACAGCAATTTGACGAGCAATTTGTCTTCTGGGAACATCCCCAGTGTTCAGGAGTTTCCCCCGTTGCCTGGAGCTGCTGGGAAAGCCCACAGCCTCCCCACATCACTGAGACTCTGTCTTTCTCTCTCAGAAAAACTGTAACTCCTTTGTCTTTGGAATCTTTCACTAAACAAGCGAATATCTCAGATAAATTATATTGTTTCTCTGTTGACTTAATCTTGCTGCTTCCCATTTCTTTTGCCTATGTAGATAAAATCCCTTCATAATAAGTGGATTGTGTGCCTGCCTTGAACAATAGCTGTTTGGTCTGGATGCTAATCGGATGAAGTCAGACTATTAGCACTTCAAATTAAATGACTTTGCAAGAGTCCAATTACATTAATATTCCAATTCCAGCAATGCAGCGATGCCCCTGCTTGCTTTGCTGGGACTCCACATGAACACAGTCAGGCATATACAATGGAAACTTTGTGCTCAGTAGCATCTGTTATATGAAATACACTTGAGTCCTAACAGGCGGGCTGGATCTGAAGTATCTGGAGAGAGAGATTTGGGGGTTTTTCACCTCCTTCTTTGTTTCCAGAACATGCTGGTACTCTTCACCACTTTGAACCAAAGGCATGAGAGGTGGCAGCAAGAAATCTTAATTATGATAATAAAACATGCAGAGTATGGCACAGAAACATGGTGGTTCCCTCAGATATAAATTCATGCAAAAGCACTTTGTGAAGCTATGCTATAGTCTGACAACGTGTTCCTCCACCCACACACAGCATCTGTGATTTCATCAGCAATCAAAGAGCGGACAGTCTGTATTATAAGCAAGGTAGGCTTTTTGGAGAGAGAGAAAACAAACAAACAAACCAAAAATGCCTTCCCCTCCAGTTTGACATTGCAGCTGGCATTGCCATAATGGTCATATGCAAGAGGTGACTTTGTTAATTGTGCAAAATTAGCTGTTTATCATTCTGTGGAAAGCATATATTTATTCTTATTTCCTAAGGATAATGCCATTTCCTAAAGAAATGAGGCAATGCAGCCACAGGTTGCATGCATCTCTGTGTTCATCTGATCCCCTGCCCTTGTGCACTTGACCGGGTTTTAAGTCAGTTTTAATAAACTTTAAAGCTAGTTTTAACCAAACTAACAGAGGGTGACTGGCACAGAATAGTACATCCTTACACACTTCATGAAAATACATGGCTGAGGAGAGAGGATAGACCTTCACTGCTCGTGTTGAGGAACAAAATACAGCATGAACTCAGCCTTTATTAGACATCAGGGACTCCACCCAGCAGCTCAATCTGAAGGTACACAGACATGGTTTCCTTGCCTCTGTTGCTCACCAAATCCCCTGTTTACTCTCCAGCTAACCCGTGTGTGTGCAAGAGTAAATAAAGCAGCACAAATATTTAATACAAGCAACATTTCCCATAGCAACAGCTGAAACAAAGCTGCTTCCCTACAGTGCCTCCTCACCCCAGGCTGCACCCCCTCGCCTCCCTGAGATCTCTGTTACCCCAAACAGGCCAAAAAGCTGCGAGTTGAGAGCTAATTTGGAGCTGCTGCTGCTGTCTGACAGCCACGGTCAGAGCAAAAGGGAAAGAAGGAACCTCCTCACTTTCTCCTACTGACCACATTTGCTTGAGTAGCTCTTCTTTGCTCAGCCACTGATTTTCATCCTGTTCTGCAGAAGTTAATCTGAGACTTCTCTCCTGCTCCGGATTTGTCTGAAACTGGAGGAATTCAGTTTATTAGGAGGGGACAGACAGATGGATTGACAGGCAGACAGACAGGCTGCATGGTCCCAGCAGTTTCAGAAACCACACTAAAGTCCTAAGAATAAGTTCCCCAAACAAC